TTTGGGTTTGAGGACCTTAAGGGGTACGTAGGCCATATGCGAGTAGTCTCTTGTCTCACGAGTAGTCTCTTGTTTCACGTGTTCATTTGCATAGATCAGAATCATAAGAAGTGAGTGACGCGATAGAGGCTCAGACCAACGATCTTTCGACAATAAGTTCTATGCACTACAACCTGAATAACTATAGTGTGTTGGCTACTTACCCAAGGTGACATTTGGCAAGTATTCGGTTTTCTGGTACTTTTTTTTATCATCCACGACGCCTACTCGTTGATTCTGTGGACAGCAACGTCATTGTTCAGCTTTGCAGTTTAAGCACTAAAGGAAATGTTAGAACTGCATATGTTGTCGACCGTTGTGAGAATCACAGATTGCTCTGTTATGCTGTTTTTCAGCAGCGAGTGTATGCGATGTGCGTCCAATTTGGTATGGTTATCTTCCAGTTTGGAAAACTGGTATTCACTGGTACATAATTCATCGCCCTCTTTGTTGCTGTTGTTTTCATCGTCATGTGTCAAAGTCTGTCCAGATATCATCTGAGTATCCAGATTAATGATGTCTGACGTTTTGGTTTCTCAGAATGATTTAGGCAATGTTGGTTGCGGGCCGGAAAGATCGTGTTCCTCGTCGCAAGCAAGCCCGCCTCTATCCTCTAGGGTGGGATGTTGACCTCCGATGCTCCAACATAAAACAGCGGCTTTCTTTGACTGGAAGCTGGATTTGTAATATTTATGGGAAGTTTATGTTCGACGGAGATCACCCAAGAACTCCAGCAGTAAATGGACGTTGGGGCGTCATTGTCGATTTGGGGCCAATAGCGCGCGTCACGTCGATTCAGTCGTAGTTCTAATTTCTTGCTGCTTGTGGTTGCCCGTATTATGTTCGATCCACTCTGAGGTACATTTGGCCATACAGAACACTTCACTGTTGTTTTAGTCTTTGAAGATATTTCACTGTTCGTTCCTATGAATTAGGTAGTCTTATGTTCTAGCTAATCAACGGCTGCCGCTTTTCATTCAGCATTACATTCTGAAACTAAATTGGCCGATTAAATATTGTGTTTGCTGTCCATGTCGATCTTCTGGAAAGCCTGAGAGAGGAGACGGTTGGTCGAAGAAGCGATATTGGACAGACTTCCGAACAGGTTACTCCTGCTCTGAAAAAATTTTAGCACTTTGTTGCGTTACCCAGAAACGCTGGAAATTCAGTTTGCTGAATCAGTCATCATTCGGTGTGAAAAATCTTAAAATATTCAAACCAACAACGGGGGTTACTGCTTCTGCTGATATCACATTGCGTGAGCATCTCTCAGGTGAACCAAGGTGAATCGCATCTCTATCAGGCGCTGGCATTAGACAGCAGGTGTACGTCAATTCTGGTATGATCACAGCAGCAGAATCTGCTGCCCCTGTTGTTCGCAAGTCGACGACTTGCTGCCCATTTCTCGACCGATTGCCGCGATTGATAAATTCTTTGCTTAAGGGAATTCTCGGTTAAGACAGATGTTGTTTATTCTCTGGAATCGAATCTAGACCTTCTGGTTCACACAACTTTGCTACTGTGCTACGATATTATGAAATACTTGATTGCATCGTTTCCGTTTTGGAAGAAACGAGCGGATAAGTGATGTCCGCCGTTAAACTCGAAGGTGCACAATCTGCGACGTTCTCTGTTAACCGCAGAATCCGCCGTGGAGGCGTGTCTTTGCTTTTAATATTCAGTGTTTGTTTTTGGTTGTTCTCCTTCGAAGCAGTGTTGATCTAAGCGAAGCCGAATATCTCATTCAAGAAGGGTAGCACAGTTCATTCTCTTTGGTAGGATGGCTTACTGATCTTGAGTACATCGGTGTTTTTCAGAGCAGCAGTACAACAAGAAGGCTGTGGAACCTCACTGCTGCCGTGCGCAGCACAGTTTGGAAAACTACCTCGTCTTTAGCGCACAACAAACCTCTGAAGTACTCATTTGACGCAGCAAATTGGCTACTTCAACGGATTGAGCAACCTGAAAGTTGACCAACTTCAGTACTTCATATTCAGTCACTATCGTATTAGAGTTGAATTAGCGGTTAGCTATCGTTTCGTAAGTTTTCGGTGGTCTGACAGAATGTTTGATTCATAGAGGTATACTTCACTGCGACGAAATCTTTCCTATACAATAAGTCGATCAGATTATTGTTGTACTGTTGGATAGAGAAATTCGTTCTCACGAGTGACTGAGCGTGATGGTTGAAGAACATGCAAGAACTCTGACTTCAAGGTGTAAGCAGGGTTTAATGATAGGATCAAGTAATGACTCTTCTTTTCCTTGCGTAGGTAACTGGGTAGAAGTAGGAGTTAGGTAAATCAGGCTGACCAGATTAAACAGACTGGTTGAACTTAAGCCCTTCGTTTTGTCTGCGAGCTTTCCATGTTCCTTAGCATGCCAGACATCGATCAGCATGCCAGCATGCTGTTTGACAAACGAGGTATAAGCAAAATTGCATTCGAAGGGCAATCGTGCCTTCAACGTTTCAGTAACCAGTGTCTGATAACAAAGGCGTTAAAAAGGCTGAAAATTGAGCGGATGTCACAAACCAGGTACGTACCGTGAATGTAAGAGGTTAAAGGCGGTATCACAGCAACACCATATCGATGTCCATAAAGGGTCCCATCCGTACATCGCTTCTGGCATTGGTGTAAGTACTTGGTAAAGCATAACCAGTTAATAATTTGTGGCGTAGCTAGTTTGGGTTATTCGTATTTTAAATCAGAGAAATATGTGCCACAGGCTCTTTAGGTATCTGCCATTTTCCTCCTGCTATCCTTTCAAGAAACGAATGCTTGTTGAAAAACTTTTGATGGTTTTCACGGCACCCGATGTCGTTTTCAATGCTCCGGGTTGAGAAGAAGATGAAGAAAGGGGTTTAATGTCGAAACAGTTTCACTCAAAACATTCAGCCGTGCAGAACATATCTGGGCTACCGGAAGAGATAACTCGAATGCGGAATTGCACAACGTGCTGATTATTACATTGGATAATCAGCTATGAAACGGATCAAGTCGAAGGGCAACACCGGACGACGAAGGCGTTGTCCATTCTGGCGTCACCAGACCAGAATACCGGTTTGTTTGTTATTTGTAAGTCACTGACTTACTAAACTTTTCGTCTGGTTGTGCTGAAGCAGTGCGGGGTTAATCGCTTGCTCAACAAAATGCGCGATTAAAACAAAGGTTGTATGTTAGACGGATTGAAACCCTGCACCTTTAGAGTTCAAAGCCAACCTCTTAGCCACTGTGCTCACACGCCACCAGTGCATAACGTGTGGAGGTAGGAGAATCATTCTCTACTTTGATTTACAGTGCTTTCGGTCGCGCGAATATGTGGCATGCTCTGTTCTCGACTTCTGGCAGACTTCATGCACAATAAATGATTAACGTCTCTTTCACTTGCCTCTTTTGTAGCGCAGATGAAGGTTGAAATTATTCGATCCCAATGGTAAACCGAAGGTTTCTGTTTAAGTACTCGTTTGCAGCGCTCCCGTGTTTTTCCAACGACTGGCCGAATGGCCGAGCTTGGTTTCAGCTGTTTAAATAGCGCAGCCTCCACCCATTTCTGTTACTGTCCAGTTACGTCGCGTTTGTGTAAACTTTTTCGCATTTCATTGCTTTCATTACGTGTTAGATAAGGTAAAACACATCTGGTGTTCGATACTGTCAGCATGATCGTAATTATACAATGTGTGTGTTCGAAATATAATGGGTTATTGTTCTTTTTACACTGAATTGTCGAAAATTTCCAACGGAAAATATAACACTCCTGACTCTGCTCAAAGCATTAGCTAATTTGCCTTTAGAGAAGCTCAAGAATGGCGTTTAATCAGGTCTGATTTGCTTCAGTCATGATTTTGTTGCTGCAGCGTTAATGGTTGCTTGATGTTGTCTGCCTCTGTTTATAGGACGTAGTAACGTAGGCGTTGTGCATTTCAGCTTAGACGGCGAAGACCTGTGTTACGAAGCTGTCAAAAGAGCCATGGCCGGCTTCGTGTACAGCGAAGCCGTTGTCAGTCATTACCTTCGCCAGCTGCTCAACGCCGTTAGCTACTGCCATGATCGAGACATTATTCATCGCGATATTCAACCGAAATGCGTTTTCCTGGCTACCAAGGACAATTCGGCGCCTGTCAAGTTGGGAGGATTTCACTTGGCCGTGCAACTGCAGGGTGGAAATGCTAAAATTCACGGAGGTAACTAATCCACTCCGTAGCATATCGAACACGATACGTCCGTTTGTCTCTCGCCACTTGGCAGTTTATCGCCCACAGATCACTTTAGGATTGGTATAATCAGCTGTTAGAAATGTAGCAATGCAGCTTGTTTTGTACAATGCAGCGTATGAAAACAGCAACATGTAAAAGGGAGAAAGGGCTGACAGTCATATAGTTGATTCCGGAGACGACGTTTGGAAGCCTGGGCAAAATCTACTGAATAAGTGATACTTTCGGTATGGAAATTGGTTTGCTCTGAGGAAGGAACACCCCAGTGGTTTCTGAGAGCTCCACTATTAAATACGTTTTTCTAGCTCCTAACCGTCATTTTCTTCATTTATTATCTTAAGAGCTCATTTTGGTATCCTGAAAGTCAAGGGTCATTATGGGAAAGTTATTTCTTAGAACTTCTCCCGTTTTTTTGGATACGTCGATCCTGTAACATGGGCTATTTCTCAACCTTGGCTGATCGCAGGTAAAATTGGCCGTGGTTAACGTTAAGCAGAATCTTTTCCTTGCTACCTTCTCATGCGGCTGATAATAGGGTTATCCAAAACTTTGTAAGCACAGTTCTGAATACCCGTTGTTGCGTTGTAGCTGAATTCTCAGCCCGATCGATTATTGTCTCTCTGCTTGTCGTAAGATTCGCAGCCGCCTCTCAGATCTCATAAGCGATACTTGAAGCAAGTATCTTGGTATGAATTGATGGACAAAAATTTTATAGGCAGAGTGGGTTGCTCAAAATTCATGGCGCCGGAAATCGTTAACCAAGAGGCTTACGGCTCTGCGGCTGATATGTGGAACATAGGAATATTTGCGTTCGTTTTGCTTTCCGGCAGTTTGCCGTTCATCGGCAAACCTGAGGAGATTTACAAGGCTACTACGGCAGGAAAATTTACGGTAAGTCTTGATGTTTGCTCCACTGCATATGTATTTAACTGGGTTTGTGAATTTGTGTGGAAAAAGTAAGAATAATTCAGGGCACCTTACTGTGTTTCTTTATCATCATGAGATTTTTATCCACTGTTGAATGAAGGACCCTACAAGATTGCCATAAACATCTGTTTTCTGTCATTTTCATCCATCTTGATCTAGCGAACTTTTTTGACTCATCTTTCCATCGATCTGAAGTTTTTCCCACGGGCCGTTTCCTCTCTCTTTGATTGTAGTCTAATGTCTCTCTCGTCCACCGATTGTTGGTCCTTCCTGCAGCGTGTCATGACCATTACCACTGCAGTTCTACTCTCATGTAATGATGTCGCAGACTCTTGCTTGTGCTCTTATGCATTCATTCGTTTACCAATTTTTTTCCTGTAATTATTGTTATATTGTTATTATTACTGTCGATAGCGAATTATGTTATCGTGTAAAAGATTCTATGAATGCTGAAAATAAATCTTTTGGCTAATCATTTACAAAATTAGATAGAGTTTTTCGAATTATAACCTGTCCAATGTCTACTACTATGGCTAAAGTTGTTAAGTCTCCTGAATAAACGAAACATTCTCGTCGTGGAAAAATGTATGCAATGGGTAAAACTCTCCATCGTATATTCAGATAGTTTTACTAAGACTGTTGTTGCTGGAAGACACGAAACGGGTGTCGCTGGGGAAAGACTCAAGTGCACCGAAACTATATTCGTATTCTTAAACGGGGCAGTGGCTTAATCCAAAGAATTCTGAAGACTGAGATTTCCATCATGCACATCTCTGCAACCACAGCTTATATTGAACCTCCTTTGGAAAATGCACCGTTCCGCAAGAAGTTTTTCTTAAGAAAAACTCAGCGGTGAAATACCAGGGATTGATTGTGAATGTGAGCCTTGGTTGGGTACGACAGA